CGATATGAAAAAGGATGATGCAGCACCCGTTGCAAGATCACTGGAACGATCGACAATAAGCAACAGAGGTCGAGAAAGCACCGTGGAAGCAGCCGGTACCAGCGTGCGTTCATTAATGTGATCATTAAGACAAACAGACAGCCGTCGCGCGACTTCTTCAGCTGCTCCAGTTTTACTATGCGCAATAACGGGAAGAACCTGTTGAGACAGAAGAACGTGAGATACGCCTAATACAATGGCATTTAAATGTCCCTCCACCTCATCATCCCTCACATGACGACTGTTTAATGTCACCAGAGAGTCTTCCTGCATCAATACAAAAAGATCATCCTCCAACGCGACGTAATTAAGTGTTCGGTCAAACACATGGATATGCTGAATACTTTGGAGTTTGCCCCGATTAAGGTTCTCCGCAAGCATCTCCAATCCACGTCGTGTTATCTGAGAGCTGAAGTTAACGTACACCCACTCGTAAAGCTCATTCACCGCATCACTAGCAATGGTGCGAATATTCTCTTCAGTAGGAGAGCAAAAATAAATGGCAGGGGCGCCGGGTACGGGATCGCGTTTGGAGTTAATGTGCATGTGCAGCGTGATCCCCAACTCTCGCAGGTCCCCAACCCTTAGCAGAGGGGCAATAACGTCACGCCCAATGTCGTCATATATGAGAAGACGCCATACCGTGAGCTCAGTGACTTCCCCACCACTGGCCCGCGATACCACGGACGGTGCTCCTGCCTGCGTCAGTGGGACGGCTGAAGCAATCATCGCCCGTATTACTTCCTTTTGCCGCTGGCGCAAGAAATGCTTCTTCTGCCCTAACATTACTCTCTCACCGCTGAAATGTCCCGTTGTTTCAATTGCTTCTTGTTTTTGTTGTTTTGTTTTCGTCTTTATGTTTGTTTTCCCCTTTTTTTTCTACTTTTTTCTTTTATTGTTTCCTTTATTGTTCTTGCTTTTTTCCCCTTGCGGATGTGTAGAAAGAGACAGGAAAAAAAAAAAAAAATAGACAAAAGAAATCCATTTTTTATCTTCTTTGTATCCTCTGTTGCTCGTCATGGTTCTCTTCGTGAGGGAAAATAGAGAAGACCCTCAAAGACACGAACAGTTGTTTGTCCCATTTTCATGTTGTCTCTGTTTGTTTGCTCCCTTTTCCCTGACCCTCAGTCATTACTCCCCCTGATCTTCGCAGGCAGAAGCATGAGCATGAAGGCCCTTTGGAAATGCAATCTCCCAGTACACGGATGGTGTACACGCCACCTGAGCACCTTCATGGCCCCTCACGTACATTGCGGCATCCGCTGCATAATCTTCTTGACGTCGGCGGTGGCTGCGCACATAACTACGGGGTTTTTCTTCATGTAAAACTGCATCTACCGTCGTGGCTGTTGGCGTCGCATTCGAGGAAATACACGGTATGGTCGCTAGGATGTCCGTGGCAGTAATGATGGCTTCAGCGCCTGCATCATTTTTACGCATCTCAACACGACTTCGGCGACGACAAGAACCTTCCGTCACACATGCTTGTCGTGGGCGCTTGGATGCAGCAATGGGAAAGAACTCATCCAACTCACGTCGCATGGGCGATGGTGTGGTGGAACTCCGTTTTTCACCCTCCGCCTCTCGTAGTGGCTCTACGGAGGACATGTCCTGCGAGCTCGCCTGAGAGGCTGGCAGCGGTGATCCCTCCATCCGTGCCTTTTGCTCAAAACCATCCACTGTCACTAACTGCGGTGCAGAAGGCGTGTCGGTCAGTACCTCCTCGTCCACCCACTTGTTCTCCTCCTCGGACTGCGGCGCATCCAACGAAAACTCATGTAAAGAGGGAGAAATTTCACCGCCCATCAGAAGTTCTGTCAGGTGCTCCAATTGTTCCGCACGGGCGTTGACGGCAATTTCCTCCTCCCGCAAAGCACGCACCTGCGCAGCGTGTCGCTGTATGATGCGGGTGATGCAGGACACAATGTCGCTATTCACCCCCACAAGGAGCTCCATCCCACACACACACACACGCACTTCGTCCACACAAAAAAAGAGAGTAAAATAGAAAAAGGAGAAACAACAGTGAAAAAGCATGAATAGAACCATTCATTTCACACTCAACAGCTAAACTCACGTAAAAAGAAAGCTATCGCCGTAAAAAACAAAAGCAAAAAAAAGGGTAATGCGGCGGCACACACACAAAAAAAAAAGCCAAACTTACTTTAAAAATCAGTAAACAACAAAACTGAAATGTCGCCTAAAGCTTCACAGCGTAGACACGCCTGGGGAACTTTCGGGCCATACGAAGCTGACGGCGAGTCTTGCGGTTCTTCTCATTGTCCTTCAGTGCGAGACGACGGCGACGGGTCAACTTCGGACGAAGAGCCTTGGGCATTGCCAGGCGCAGCCTCCTGCCTGCGTAAACCTTGCGGAGGCTCTCGCGCTGGTTCCGGTTCAGCACCGTCAGAATGCGGGCAATGCTCTTGCGGATCAGACGGATGCGTCCGAGGCGGGTACCCGCGCTGTTCAGCTGCTGCGCCACGCGAAGCTGCGAGAGCTCCTTCTTGAACTCCATGAGCTGCTTCAACAGCTCATCCTTGCTCTTATCGCGCAGATCGCGGATCTTGACGTGGTGCGACATCGCTGAGGACTGTGTGCCTTAAAATCACGCAAAAACCTTCATAAAAGAGGAGGGAGGGGGGGGAAACAAATATTATTACAAGAATACCACAGCACATAAATATGCCACAATAATCCCGCTAAAACACACCAATAAATAACCCCCGTCATCGACATATCTGCTTCTATCTCCTCACAATTATCCAACAGTGCATACATATATATATAATAAATAAATAAATCAAACACAACATGTCAAATACATACATGCCAAGTACATTTTTCCCTCGCTCCTCCACTCAACCACCCACCCCCAGCCGGTACGAAGGAGTAGACGCGCCTTCCTCACTTATATAAGTTTCGGATTTCGTCTTTAGTACCTGTTTTTTTTTCTTTACATTGCATTCCCGCCACGCGCAAAAGCGTGGCGTCGTTCATGCATATAAATGCGTATACATCTGCGATACAATTGCATGCGCCCTCTACAAGTATGTGATGCCAGGTGTGGTGTCTGCGGATTTGATGCGGTCTGACTGGGCGGCGCAACATGTCCCACCTGGCAGTGCCACCAACCCCAGCACCGCGTCGCTACCAATCTTCTTGTAGCTTGTGAAACTCAAAAAAAAAAACCGATCGCGAGTGGTGTCGTAAGTGGCAGACCCTATTTTGCCAACCACTTTATTTCTTTCCTCCGCCGCTTTGCGCAAAGATTCAATCTCTTCATCACGTTCCTTTTCTTGTTGCTTTCGGAAGGCCGCAAGCTCCTCACGCTGCGCATCATCTAACAGAGCGAGAGGGTCCTCTTCTTCTTCTTGCTCCTCGTCACCATCGTTCTCTTCCTCTTCCTCTTCCTCCATATCCTGCTCCTCATCCTCATCCTCCTCCTCCTCCTCTTCGTCGTCGTCTTCCTCCTCGGCACGTTTGGCGGCCCTCGCCTCACGTTCGGCTGCACGTGCGGCAGCGCGTTCCTTTCGCTCCTCTGCCTTCTTTTTGGCTCGTGCATGCTTCGCCGCTCGCAGCAGCTCCAGTTGTTTTTTTTGAATAGCATTTCTGCACCGTTTCTTAATGGATCTTATCGACAAACGAAGTGTCAGACGCGTTCCACGTGTATCCGCCCGCACCTCGGCCGCATTGCGTGAAGGAAACTGCAGCACAGACCGCGAGAGCGCACGCACATTCACACCTACCACATACCCATCAGAAGTGCCAATATGACAATAAGACGCTTCGTTACTTGTGGCGGCCACAACGTGAGGCGCCTCTGGAATTTCAATCGTGCCCACACACCGCAGCTGTCGCATTGGTGGCTGAGGACGTGTTTTGATAGCAGATTTCACCGCCGTTGCACCTTGCACAGCCGCACGGTAGTGCTTGTTCACTGATTCATCCGCAGGCCCGGGATTCACTTCAGGGCTGGACGATGCTTTCGCGGGCACCTCTCCTGATTCCTCCCCGCCATCTGTTGCTGTAGCGGCGGGATGATCAGGCATTGGCGTGGTGTCCGTTGGTTCCCTGAAGGAGACAGTCGCTTGGCGGATATTGTCGGGTGAAGAAGGTGCCACGTCTTCCTCGTCCTCATCTCCAAATTCCGGCAGCCTCCATATTTTAATCGTGAGATCGCGCCCAAACGAGAGGAGTAATTCCCCTGCCCCAATAACACGCAGACATTTAACGTGGTTCTGGTGACCAACAAGTAATCGGATGGTTTTGGCCAACCTTGTGTCCCAGACGCGAATCTGATTATCGTAACTTCCAGTGATAACATATTGAGAATCCTCTGCTACAACGGTAATACAAGAGAGGACATCCTTGTGCCCTGGCCAGGAGGACCGCCGCGACCCTTCAATAGCATACAGACATCCATCATTGCCACCGGTATAAAGAGCACCCTCATGCATCATGAGGCACCGCAGCGGGGTTCCCACCCTTGACACATTTAAGCAGTGCTTCATTTCCTCCAGTTCCCTCTCTGTGGACCAGTGACGAAGTGTGCCATCCATTGAGCACGAAAAAACCTCGTCAGTAGATGGGGCAAACATGGCTGTGACGGCTTTGGTGTGGCCGTAGAGTATCAACGATGGCTTGCCGAAACAGGCAGCATCGGCGGAACCGTAGAGTTCAATGGAGCCGTCTTCTCGACCAACGAACAGAGGTGCCGGGGACTCATCCTCGACAGTGCACATCGACGTTATGGTGCGACCCGCCATCGTGAAGAAAGAGAAAATCTTTTAAATACCTCCAAGCTAACGGGCCAAGAGAATAAGCCGTCTCTCCCTCTTGATTTTGTTGTTGTTGTTGTTGTTGTTGTTTTCTATTTTATGTGTGTGCTTCTTGTCCACTCTTTGCGTTCCCTCTGCCTCCTCCTTTGCCGCCGTCTTAGCTGCTGCACGATGGAGTTTGCCACAAAAGCGCGTGTGAATCCCACCCCGCTCGGCAACTCCCTGCTCTCCCCACACCGCAAATGTTTCCCATACACAAAAAAAGAAAGAAAAAAAAAAAAAAGGACGGTGTGAATGTTGCAGCTGCAATGGACCCCTGCACCATCATTCATTGGTGCAGAAATACGCCAAATAGGAGGGAAAGAAAAAAAAAAAAAAAAAAGAAAGAGAAAAAAAGGAAAGGTAATAAAAAAGTGATGAGGCGGGAAACAACAAATTAATTCACCCACCCGGTACTTTATATATATATTTGTTCTAAAAGCGAAAAAAGCAAAATAGTCCCTGATGCAATTCCACGAAGAAACACACGCATGGGGTGAAACTAAAATGATAATACAGTCCAGAGACCCATGCACACATGAAAAAAAAAAAAAAATTTCTTCCTTCTAACTCCTCCCTCCCCCCCTCTCTCTCTCTTCCCCTTTCTCTCTATATGTATTTATGTATGCGACACTCACCGTTCCCATTGTTAAATTCCTTCCTTCTGCCTCATGTTATTTGGATGGTGAGAAGATAAGGACGGAAGAAAGATTTCAGCTCTGCAGTGATCATCGCCTCTTCTCAATTTTTCTAATGACATCACCAAATAGACGAAATGGGGGCATCAGCGCGTCCTTGCCTGTCTCCTTGTGTAACTTCGGTGTCACTCGCAATGGCTGTGCGAGCTGCTGCAATCTTTGTGGATCAGCGTGTCGACAACCACGTGCCTCTCCCGCCTGCGTCTCAGAGGGTGGAGAGGCGGAGTTGATGGCAGCCAACTCCGACACAAGCAGCATCTTCCCATCGTTGTACTTTACGTGGAAGGACGGGGGTCGCCAGTTCTCCTCAAGTTCGTGGAACTTCTCTCGCACCTGCACCTCCTTCTTCTGAATTGGTGTCATGCCAAAAAGTCTTTGTTTCTCCCGTTCCCGACGTTCTCTTTTACGCAACTGCTGGTCGTACATGTGCTGTACATGCATCGCCATATCCTGGTCTGTAAGGTAACGCGTTGGTGTTGGGTGGTACAACTCCCACTCCAACTCCGCCAACTTCTTCTGCCGACGAAAAACCTCCGAGTACACCATCGCGTTCACGTAATCATCAATTTCCTTCTGCGTACGGTATATCCGTGGCTGCGACGGGTACACCGCCTCCTCCGCGCGGCGCTGTGATTCCTGGCGGCGCTGAATGCCTTCGTTATAGAGGCGATACACCGCGTCTCTCTGCATACGAGGAGAAGCGTAGTACTCGACATAACGTGCCGCATCACCGTTTCCAATGTACGGATTGGGCATCCCTTCTATACAATAATGGCGTATGTGCAAGGCAATAAGAAAAAAGAAGAGAGAGAGGAATAAACCACCAATCAAAAATCAACAAGAAAAACTGTATAAAGGAAAAAGAAAGAGAAATCATCCCTCTCCCACCTGGAAAACGGTTGCTGTGATTCATCCTATTTGTCCCTCTTTCTCTTTCTTTCTCCCTCTCTCTTTTTTTCCCTGTCCGTCTCTATTTGTTTATGTGTGTGCATGTAATACCGGAAAAACAGGTCTGGGTCCCTTCGTCATAGTGCCGCTTACGCTGCCGCACCACGCCGGCCCGCGGCAAGAAGAACAAAACAAAACACCTGTCACGCTGTTAAGTGTTTCGTCGTTTTTTTTTCCCAAAATTTCTCCTCTTATTTTACTCCCCCGTGCCATTTCCTTCAGAGTTATTATTGCTCCTGAATGCCACGCATTTCTTCTCCTCACCCGCCTCCTCATGCATTTCCCCTAATCCAAAACCCTTGACCCCCTCCTTTGTCCACAGGACCCGAAAGAATGTGGGTCAATCCCCCGGCGCCGCACCGCCCAGTCCATTGGCAAACAACCAGATACGCGTTTTCAATGGGAACGGCACGCACACGGACGTGTGCACATCCTCACGCCATCTGTCCTCGCATCCATGCAAGCATCACCATACGCCCAATACCCCATAATTCAAACAATCGTAAAAATCCGTCTTTCGCGGGGAAAATAGACCTCAAAAAGTCACCCAGTAGTACAGGATCAAGTTCAGCCGTTTCCAGCACAGGCATGGATGGTGACGTACACTGCACCATCGGTATCACCGACCTTGAGGAGCCTGCAACGCTAGACGTTAGCGGCACAAGACTGGGCAACATACGACGTGCCTGCAATGATGAATTAATGTGCAGCGTGGCGTACATGGCACGTGGTATGGTGGAACTGCCGAAGACGCGCCTGCCAAACATAACGCCTCTACACAAAAACAAAAAAACGAACGCACTTCACAAGATTATATATTATCAATAATGGCCTTATTATTATTATTATTATTATTATTAGTAGTAGTAGTAGTAGTAGTAGTAGTAGTAGTAGTGTTAATAATAATAATGGTCGCGGTCGCCAACACCGCAAGAAAAAAGAAGAAGAACAATGATAAATAACAATATCAATAGCAATAATAATGGTACCAATCCGTCCAATTATGTAGATTGTTTTTTGTTTCCCCCTTTTTTTGTTCCTTTTTTTTCCATTCACATACACAGAGACATATTACATATTATATGTAAATTAAAAAAATACCAATCAAAGGAAAAAAAAAAAAAAACAGTCGCGTATTTATATCAATCAATTCGCAGGTAAATCAATTGGAAATGCTTTACGAAATACACAACTTTTTTTTTTCCGTTCTTCCACTTCTTTTCCCTGGCAACATTCGGTCTACTTTATGTCTTTGTTCTTTGGTGTGTATTTCTCCTTTTCTCTCTCCTTGCCTCGTCGTCAACACCGGTAACTTACTCGACTATCGGTAGCTCCACTCCGCATCCCTCTATCCTTCTCCGTCGTAGCAGCCCACCTCTGCTCTATGCAGCACTCCCTCGTGCGCCTAAAACCAACTCTCGCACCTCCGTGATACTCACACACTCTTCAATGGCGGACTTCAACTCACGCGTGGATGCATTCAATTGAACGTCGACATAATCCTTCACCCAACGCTGCAGTTCCGTCAGATTTTCATTCACCTCCTTGCGGTCCACTTTGGGTGCGATGGAACGCAGAATAGACTCCCATAAAGTTTTGAATCGGGCCTCCACGTATCTTTTTGTTTGCATCTCAGTATCTTTCTTCTGTTCAGCAATCACACTTTGTTCTATTTGCTCCGTCTTGGACTCCACTCGTTGAAGTCTCTCCATCACACCCGCCAGAAAATCACCACTTTTAATAACCGCTGCAGTTGTTGTTTTTCCCGCCGAATCATCCCCTGTTAGGCGCTCCGCCCATTCATCAATACGCCTCTGGCAAACGGCAACAATTCTTGAATTCTCCTCCACTTCACGTTTGCATGTCACCATCAAACTCTCCAAGCTTGCCAGGCGATCCCCGTGCAAAAAACCCTCCGCTCCCACCACGGCATCCTTTTCCGTTTTATGCATGGTGGTAATCCAACTCTCTAGTTTGGTTACGCGTTCGCCCATTGCAGCCATCTGAAGCGGGACATCATTCATCGTTAATAACGACAAAGAAGAGGGTATTTGTGGTGACGGTGTTAGGGGAAGTGGTTCTTTCGCCCGTATTTCACCCACAGCCGCCTCAAGAGACTTTACACGATTGTCAAAAGAGAGAACAACGTCATTTGTATTTGATGTCATTTGTGCCAAATTTTTGCGTGCAGACTCCTCCAATAGAATCACACGCTCCTCGAGCGTAAAACGTGGTTGATTCAGGTCATCGCCACTCTGTGGAAGAATATTCATATGCACCTTCTCCAAAGCGGATTCCCGGAATTGCTCCAGATATCGTTTGAACTCCATTTGTTCGCTGCGTATCTCAGCCAATGCCTCCTCAACAAGGCGAACCCTCTCCACGGAGACAAAGACTTCAGACTCCTTCTGCAGTCTCCGTAGCACATCATCCAGTTTGCACCCTGAAAATGTAGATACAGCCTCATACACTTTCTTCCATTCATCCGACGTGACAGTGATGCAAGACCCCACAGTCTTCTCCATTGTTACCATTAAATCCGAAACCCTCTCAAAAGAGGTCTTTATTGCTTGCATATCGGATGTCAGGACAAGGCGAGACCTTTCCGTTGATTTCACACCCTTTTCACAGGACCGCATCTCTTTCTTCAGCTCACTTAATTGTCCAAAAACTCTTTTCATTTCATCTTCAAAAACATTTTTCGGGTGCTGTTCCTCTTGAATAGAAGAAGTTTTTTCAGAGACATCCGCAACTTCCCTTGACAAAGCTTCCACTCTTCTTTCCAGACGGTTGCATAGAACCTGAAAACCATCTAATCGCACATCCACTTCTTGAATTTTTCGCTGAGCAAATTGTAAAGCCTGATTCTGCTGAATATTGAGTCGCAGACTTTCAAGCTCACTTTCTTCATGACGAGTAGGCGATGAATGACGCTTGACTTCATGCGGCTCATCTGTTGCATGCCTGAGCTCCAAAGCAGCAATACGGCTTCGCAAAACATCCAATTCAAGCAACGCCGGAGATAACTTTTTATCCAAAGCCTCCATGTAACGCTGATAAGTTCGAGGAACCTCCTTTACAAGGTTCTCAAATCTTGAGGTGCGTTGCTGTATCTCATTAAGCTGGGCGACATAACGACTCAAATGTTCTTCTTCTCGCTCAACAGAAGCCCTCAATTCAAGAAACTCCACCTCCGTTACACATTTTTTCACCTCACGCTCTCGGCATATCATGCTATGGGGATCATTTTTATTATTATTATTAAATATCATGCCTGATGTCTCCTGAATTGTATTCAAGGCAGTCGTAAAGGCATCCATCTCGTTGCGCACACATTTCAAGGATTCATTGTAATCGTGTACTTGTTTACCCAGCCTCTGTACATCCCCTTCAATGTTTTCAACCCTTCTCACAGCATGCATTGCCTGTTCACATCTGCCATCCAAATTTCCTACAGTTTTTTTGATTTCTTTAATCTCATTCTGAAGCGTACCTCTTTCATTTGAAATAAACTGATGAAGTTCCGCATATTTGCGTTCGTAATTATGCCGATCGTTTTTCATCAGTTCATTTACAGCGTTTTCTATATCCATAATCGGATTAGGTTTATGTATCATAGCAGACTCTATGACCTCTATTCGTTGACGCATTTCCTCGATATATGGCAAGACTCTCTCGCTCTTTTCATTTACAAGTGCAGTTACCTCGTTTTTAGACGGGTATAAATCACGGATACGTTTATTCAACTGTTCCAAATCAGTTCCATGTTGGGTTAACCGAAGATCAATTGCCTTCTTAAGATCACCTGTCAAAGCATTGTACGTACCTTGAGTCTTTCTTAGAACCGCCATCAAAGAATTATTATCCTCATCTCTTTTACGATAAAGTTGGGAAAGTTTCTCCGTCAAGGCCTGCGACTTCTCCAAGGCGCTAAATACAGTCTCAAAGCGATCCTCTGAGGATATTTCCAGCTGTTTCACCATCCCCAGACTGTTACAAATCTTTTCATGCAAATGCGTGTATTCCTTTACGCGTTTTTTTATTTCACGTTCCGTTTCAGTTTTAAATGATTTGAGTTCCCCCAACGCATCTTCATGCTGTTGAAAGTGGATTCTAAGGTTATCCATTTCGGCAGATACTGCGTCACCAAGTTGCCGCCACGCCACATTGGAAACTTCCAAATCCTTTTTGGTTTCACTCACTCCGGCATCCTGCCTCTCGGATACTAACCGAACATTCGTTTTCAACTCTTCGACAGTGCCTAATAACTCCCTAAATTTGTTGTTTATTTCTCTCTCCAACTCCATAGAACGTTGGTTCATTTTTTTAGACAAGGCGCTTGACTCTGCGCGTACCTCATCATGCATCGCAATTGTGTCATGTACTCTGTTCTCAATTTGTCGAATACGATCCCTTATTTGTTGTTGTTCTTCATTTAAATGACGCATTTGTTCGCGAATAGTCCCCAGCACTTCGGAAAAAGATGCTTGAACCTCTTGACACTCCTGTTGCATGGTCAGTTCAGATTTTTTCATTTCCAATTCTCGTTCCAGTGCTTTGACAAAATCCCTTTTAGCAGACGATCATGTTCCTTCTGGTCGTCAAGAAACGCATCACAGGTAAGACGATTATTCTGCAATTCGTTGTTCATCTGACGAAGAAAACTGCGCAACACCGTTGGAATATTCACCCACTCCTCATCATCATTGAGTATCGCGTCCCTCTCACTAAAGGTCATAAATACAACAAGATATTGTTCACACAAGGTCCTATATCGTTTTAAATAAAAGAAGTGAATAAAAGGGAAAAAAAACACCCTGAAACAGTGTAGGCAAACAGAAAAAAAAAAAAAAGACACAAATGGCACGGCACACAACGATGACCCAAGGTTGTAATTGTAAATGTGACATCAAAAAACAAAAGCCTTGTTAGCGTTTTGTGTGTGTCTGTTGCCCATTGCCGCCGATGCTAGTCTTAGCACAGAAAGGAAAACAGAATTAAAATATGATCTGGAAAAAAAAAAAAGCATAACAAAAAAGAAAGCAAGAAAAGAAAAAAAGCAAAGTACAACGACAACTTTAAAAAAAAAAAGTCAGTGGACACAATAACCACCCTCAGTCACCATTTTGATGCTGTGTTGACGAAAGTATTTCATGTGATTCCAGAATTCATAGGGATTAATGGCATAATAAACCTGGTGATCCCGAACATCTGCAAAGTGTATATTTCTCAGAGCTGGTCGAATGCGCGCCATATCCATCATAAACTTAAATTTGTAGTACCAATCTTGCTTTCTTAAAAGACCTGGAACGAAAACCAAAGAATGAACCCCATTGAAATTTCTCACCTTATCTTGGGGACGATCCAAAGGACGAAACGGTGTTCCTGATCGACCTAATATAGCTGTCACACTAATCGCTACCTCTTTTTGTTCCATAACAGTTCGAAGAGCCACGTAAGCCCCATTCCCCTTTCCAAACAAATGGACTCTTCGATGTTCAACATTGAAATTCTCTGTGACCCAGTCACAAAAACGTGCCACTACAGCCTCAACAGGAACCTGGAAGTTATGACGAAGATTTATAGTTGGAGAAATAATTACCCAATTTTGTTCAAGCATCAATTGACGATGCATAGGGCGTTCAAAAAAATTCGCACATACATCTTCAAAATCTCTTGGAATTCCCCGATGATCAGGAAGTACAACCATATATGGATATTCTTTTTCTTTTGACCAATCTGAAGGTGTAACCATACTGTAGGCCATTGGAGCCGGATCTTCATCTGGATCAAATGCACTATGATCGACACAATCAGCTTTTCCCTCAATTAAGACGAGACCTGTGCTCTGTGGATATAAGGCACGAAGTTCATATTCATTGGGGATACGTGCATTTTTGGGTAACCTTCGAAAAGATGTTTCGTTTGGACGATATTCGGAATCTGGTTGAGGTACTCGGACAATACGTCGACGACTACGGTTATCCACAGAAGTTTCTATTGTGTCTTTTTTCCGCGAGCCAATATAAGGTCCTTCTTGCGAAAAAGAATACTGCAGTCGATTCATCTCTAGAAAAAAGTGTTCATTCTCCAAAACTGAATTTACATCCTGGCTTTTAATTTCACCTATAGAATCTGGACCTTTCTCCTGAGAAATTCTTGTTTCACTCACAATTTCAGCTTCACAAACTCCAAACTTCACCCGTGACTTATCATTTAAAGTACCAACCCCCTCAACAGTATTTACATGACACTGCCGCAGACCAATGGGCAGTATGTGCCCAATGGTAACCATTGAGCATAACCTACGGAACATTTCTAGTTACTATAATAATAAGAAGCATGATGCCAACAGCCATTTAGAATAATAAAATAAAATAAAATAAGCAATAATTTTCATGATTAACACATTTTTATTTATCTGCATCAACAGGCAGATATATATTCATTAGAAAATCCTAAAATGCAGATACGCATATCCAAAAATTAAACCCGATGAGGAACAAAACCACACCCTAACTCGAAGATCTCACCCACCCACGCTCACAAGAAAAGAAAAAAAAATGTATGTAGTCCAAAATACCAAGCCGCCCTTCCTAAGAATCAAAAAACAAAAAAAAACACAAATATTAAGCAGAGTCATTTGGAAAAACCCTGACGCCCCAGCCCAACAAATATCTTCATTTAATCACTATTGCCACTGCAAGGAATAAATATCATTTCGCATCCCATCCATAATCGGAATCTTTTTTCTTGCTTCTTTGATCAAATCAAAATCCAGCTCTGCATCAACGTAAGACTCACCTTCTTCTGCGGTAGCAATCACCCTACCCAAAGGATCTGCAACCATCGAATGACCCCAAGCAACATATTCTGCGTTGGAATCACGCGCAGGAGAACACAAAAGAACATACTGTTGATTATCCATAGCACGTGCTCTGGCCGAAAGTTCCCAATGTATTGGACCTGTAAACATATTGAATGCACCCGGATAAACCAAAAATGACGTCCCTGCTTGGGCATACTTCCATGCAAGCTGTGGATACCGCATATCAAAGCAAATACCCACACCAAATTTGATTTTTTCGTTGATTGAAACAGGAAAAGCAGTACTTCCAGGAGAAAGAACCTCCCGTTCGTCCATTTGCACGGTTTCTGAATGGATTCGGAACAAATGAACTTTTCTATGAACATGCTGCAAGTTACCTGCCGAATCAAAAACCATGGAGGAATTGTACAACTTTCCATCTGCGCGTTCAGGTATGCTGCCGGCTACCACCCATATATTGTTTTCTTTAGCAACCTTAGAAATGGAATCGTAAGTGGGGCAACCCGGTCTTATTTCTTCAGCGTATTCATCAAAATATTTGGTGTCATAGGGGCACATGAAGCATTCTGGGAGAACGGCAAGATTTGCACCTCTAGTTGCCGCTGCCGCAATCATTCCCACAGCTTTCGATAGATTAGCCTCTTTGGATTTCTCCACGGCCATCTGACAAAGAGAAACTCGTAAACTGGACATGTTCCGTTCGACAACGGAGGTGAATAAATAGACTCTAAGCCTAAGAATCTTCGGTGATAATGGAAAACGCCCGGGACGTGCGTGTTAATGTAAAAAAAAAAGAAAAAGAACTGCCGGGAAAAAAAAAATTTCGAAAAAAAATCCCTTCACCCAAACAAAATTTCCGCAATGGAATGGGGGCCGGTTCATGGCGACACCCTTACCGGACGCGGGCCCCAAAAGAATTAGAAGAAAACCCCTCCCTCAGCCGCCGCGACCGCCAAAAAAAGGAGCAGGCACGGAAGACAGCCGCCCGCGCGCGGTGAGAAATCAAAAGCGGAGTCGCTGGGGCGGCGCGCGTGCGCGTTTTGATGGCCCGCGACCGCCCTCCGTGGCGTGCCGTGAGGGCGTTTGTGTGCGTGTGCTACGGCCCCGTGTGGGCTGCGATTTCTCATTATTGTTTATTTATTTGCCTTGGCTCTGTGTAATGATCCTTCGCCTCTCCTGTTTTGTGTGTTGTGTGATGGGCGGTAAATGAAGTGTGTGGACGAGCCGAAGAATAGGTGCTTGTGACCAGGATGCTTGCGACGAGGGCTGGCTGCCTAAATTAATATGCATCCTGATAAAACGAAGACATTTCTGTGCGGTATTTTTTCTCTGTCTTGTGGTGGATTGGATGACCGCGATGGACGCAATCAGGGTGCCAATGGCGGTAGGACAAAATTATTTATTATTAATTTTGCCTTCACAGCGACTCCCTTTTGATTTCCCGCCACGCGGCGGTGTTTTGTGGCTGCAGGACTCCGAAGTCTGCCACCTCGTAAGTCATGGTGTTTCTAACCCCAACAACGCGCAGCATGTCACGAGAGTGGCAGTCCGAATATGTATATAAATGTAATATATGTGGTTGGAGCAAGCACTGAGTGGATTGCGAACCCGCTGCCCCTCCGTTCGCCCCCTCCTTCTGTTTTGCTTGGTTTCTTTAGACACGTTGAGGGTCCGGCGAGCGGCCCAGGCGAATATCCGCTGGTGCTTTATTTTGTTGGAGGCAAGATGTCTCCGTGGGACGGCGGGGCGGTGGAGTGTGGCGCTGAGCTGGCGCTGCGGACCGTCGGCACGATGAGTGGAATCGTCGTGGTGTGTGCAGCGGGGCTTGCGCTCCGTTGGCGGCTGCTGCTGGGGAAGGGGCGTTGCGCGTTTGATTTGCAGCTCTTGGGGCTATTGTGGGAGAAGGTGGGAGGCTGAGGGCATGAGGACTGAATTGTTTTGAGTGGCAGCGCTCCGTCGACTTGCGGCCAGTCGTGGCACTCCTTTGGGTTTGGCAGCCTGTCTCGTTTGTTTACTTCCCACTGCAGGACGTGGACAACACTGCTCCGAAGAGCGCTTGTTTGACGGGTGTGGGCTGCTGCCGTGCGTGGTGCGTGGACTATTTGATTGTGTGGGGAGGTGCGTGGAGTGACGAATACTTCTGTTTGGCGTGTCGCGGTGTGTCGGAGCGATGTTCGGAAAACATGTGAGGGGTGTTGTTTGTGATTTGTGTGTCTTCTCTGGTGGAGCCGACATGTGTGCGGGGATTGTGGCATTGCTGGCTGACAGCTCCACGGCACTTTTCGGCATTCCTGGATGTGGTGAGGAATGACGGCTGGCGACCAGCGTGTTGGTGCTGCTGGTGGGAATAAGTGCATCGGGAATAGGCCGTTTTCTCTTTTCCGTGATGGAGCCGATGAACTGGCACGAGGGCACCGGCTGCAGGCTGCCTGCCAGCACGTGTGAGCAGCGGATCCATGCACACACCGACGCTCGTCGCAAGAGCTTGTGCGATCACAGTGGCTTTTGTGGCGTGCCTTTATGGTCGCCATCCCGTCGGAGAATGTGTGAAGCAAACGGCTGGCTGAGCACGAGGAAAATGAGTGCGTGCACTGTGCCGTGTTTCAGCGTCGATGGCAGAGCGGCAGGAGGCCCGTGTTGGCAACTGAGATCTTTGCGTGGCGAGGGATGTCGGTGCTGATTTTGGATTTTCGAGGGTGAAATGAATTTGCTGCTGCCCGTGTGTGTGGCCACTCCGGCGGAGGGCGAACACAAAAGGGAAGGACGCAGGCGCTGCGTGTGTGTGTGCAGGTGCCATGCAACAGCGTCACAACAAACATGCTGCGACTCGGTGACCCTCACATCGTTGTGGTCCTCACGCACAGCCCGGGCACGGCCCGCATCGATGCACTTAGTGGACGGAGTGGGGCATCTTTTGAGGCGCTGCAGGGAACAGGATGTGTTGACGCAGCCACGACGTGCATGGAGTGTCACGATGGCACAGTCAGCTGTGGCTGGTGGAATATTTACTTCTCGGAGGAAACAGAGAGAGAGAGAGAGAGAGCTGCTCCTGCTGCTGGCGTCGTTGCTGCCTTTTGTGGCCTCCCATGCCGATTATTGTCTGTCCGCTGATCATGGGTGGTGTGCGTCCACTAGTGACGTCGTCTGCAGGCATTTCACAGCACCAACGAAACGCACATCGCGTCGCATTCTTTGGCTGTGGGTATGGTGTCGTGAATGCAGCCGGCATTATTTTGCCCGACTCCTTTTCGCTGCTTTGCGACAAATAGATGCGTCGCCGCCCGAGTCATTCACTGCAGCTCCGCGTGTTGTACTGCCAGCACAATACTCTCTTGTTGTTTGGCGCCTGGCTGACGGTCAAACACCACTGCGTTGGGACATGCAGGGATGTGGACTGCCGGCGGCGGCGGATATCGTGCACACCTGCGCGTGGTCACGGCAAGCAACGCTTCCCTCATCGTGCGGTCGAGTGGCCCACGCAATCGTCGCCCCGTCCGTGCATGGGACCCAACGGACGCCGCCCTTTTCGACCACTCTAAGGCGCACCTGCATGACAAGGCACCCCAACGCCGCATGCATGGCAGCACTCAGATACGTCTCCTCCGGGTCCCTCGCATCTGTCGTGTTCGTGGGAGGCGTGTCCGGACACCACGAAGAGGGCCTATCCCCGGGCACCGCAAACAAACATTCTCCCCGCCAAATAACACCGTCAGCACCCCTCACATCCAGTGCGGGATCAATGATGGGGCAGCTGTCCATCGGGCGCTTTGCTGACATTTTATGCGCACTCCCCAAACACCAGCCACTGGAATACAGATCCGACGCGCAGCATTCGACGGGAACGCCCAATTCGCACAGCATGCGAAGATATTCACTCATGTTCAGTGCGGAGCAGTTCCTCTGCTGCTGCTGCGCACAACCCGAATTCCCGCACCAACGCGTCGGCTCCGCCATCCCCCTGCTCACCCTCATGCAGCCCAGGACAGCCAATGCAGCCAGCGTCAGCTCCGTGCAGTCGCCGGCACCCCAATCGCTGCCATCCACTCATCCCTCGCGTGGCACCGCGACCGGTGCGACTCCAGCGTCCTCCCGTCCCCATCGCCATCCTGCTGCTCCACGCCATCAACGTCGTCGCAGTCGTGGTGCTCCCTCGCTGCCATCGCGGCAGTCGTCGACTGCACCACCACCAACAGCGCCCCGCCACGCACGCAGGCAGCATTCCTCACCATGCTGCGGCCTGCCATGTGCGGGCAGGCAAACCCGACAGCATGGGCCATCAGGTGCGCGGCGATGCGGGTGGCGAGGCGTCCGTGAAACAAAGCGGCCGGGCAATGTTCATGGCGCCAGCGACGGGACGGCCATCCTCCAGCGTGGCGCACGGCAGTGCCCACACACCACCCGGCGCAGCAGCCACGCACTGCACTGTGTCAGAATTGGCAGCACCAGCGGAACAATGCTCAGCAGGCACAGTGAACCGACTGCAAACACTGCCCGTGGCGAGTGACGGCACAACCAACGAACCCTCCAGTGGCTGCACGAGCAGACGATCCGCATGCAGTTTGACAGCAGCAGGGACAACCTCCTCGGCAACAGCGTTCCCGTGCGCAGACGAAACAACACCATTCCTGCAGCCAAACGCGCCGTCCAATGCATTCGCTGTGCAACACCGGGAGAAGCCGCAGCGCCTCCTGCTGCCACACGGGTCCGCTGTTGGCGCCTTGATGCGGACGGGCACCCATCGTTCCCTCCAAACGACGCTGCACACCTGCAACGCATCCTGCGCTCCGAGAGGCACGTCTCCCACCACACCCGGGGACGCCCACACGCCGCCGGCACGCACCGCATCGTCAAGGAAACAGGGATACGTCAGGATGACAGCAGGACACCCGCCGGCAATTCACATCGCAGGCATCATCACAAGCAGCAGCTGCTGCAGGCCGCGGGGCGACGTGGATCAACCGACGCATGGCGCATGTGGAAGAAAAAACGTAATGGCCTGACGAGGATGCAAGAGGCTGACGCCTCTACAAAATGAATGAAACGGTATGAGAACACAAAGAGGAGATTTAAACGCCCGCAGTCAATGCAAGCCACTGATAAAAGGGTGGAATGAGTGCACTCAACCACAACACGAGCAGAGACTCAAAGAAGAAAACAAAACCAAAAAACAAGAAGCCGAAGCGTGGGACGACCGAAGCACACACGCTCTCATTGCTCCCGTAAAGCAAAACACACACACAGGGAGAGAGAGAGGTCGTCCACTCAAAGCAATAGAAAATAATTAAAAAAAACTGTTACGGTGCTCCGCCCATGCAGCCAAGCAGGACGGCAGCGGTGCGTGTGGTGCAAAAGAGAGTACCAACGGGCCTGCATGGGTGTGCATTCATAAATACGTGAACAAATTATGTGTGTGCTTATTAGGCTGAGGTGAGAGCGAGAGTCCATGCAAGTGGACACACACACACAGAGAGAAGGACGAGTGTGTGTGCGGGCGGTGCACGGCTCTCTCACACTCACTCTCACGCGGCCACCACCGCAGCCGCAGCCGCACACGCAACAAGAAGAAGCAGAAGAGGGGAGGTGGAGTGGGAGGCCGCGGTGCTGCCGTCACTCTCGTCAGGCGTCCTCGTAGCACTTGTTTGAGCGGCGGTGGCTGTTGCTGTTGCTGTTGGTGGTGATGATAGTGGTGTTGGTGTTTCTGTTCCTCCCTCTCCAGGCGGTTGTGATGCCTGTGTACCTTCGCCTGCGGTTCCTTCCGGTTGACCCGAACCACTTTCCTCCAAAGTTTGGTCCTGCCTCCCAGAGGAACCACCGGCATTCGGTTGGCCAGTCCCAGTCCCGCTCTGAGTGTTATTCTTCTGTGAGGCGGCTTCTTGGAGTTTACTTGCATTAATTCTCAATTCGCAAGAATACATTTTGGGAAGGATTTTACAGAATGCACCGTTCGCTCCATAATAATGTTCATTCAACGATTCGCTGCCAAAATCCCACGCGTAGCCACCGCCGGCACCGCACCACAGCGCGCAGAGGACACACACCAGCAGCACACGGCCAGTCATCATCATCGCCATCACCCCTGTCACTTGCGTGCAGCCTTCAGCACAAACTAACAACACGTCAACGCAGAGCGGAAGCAAAAGGAGAGACACGGCCGCTACACCACGCACAGCCACCGCACAGTCACAAATGGCAGCAGCCCAGCAGCGGCAGCGCACACACACCATGAGACAGTTAAAAGCAGCGAAAGGGCAAAAACACACAACGCCCCGCAGCAAGCAAACAGAAAAAAACACAGAACAAAACGATTAAAAACAAAACACAGTTAAACGAACAGCAATAAACTAAAAATGGAATAATCCTCTGGGCCGCTGACCGAATCCTGAGTTTATCGATAATAGAAACCAAACCAGATATAAATAAGAAATGGTCGAATAGAATAAGAATGGATTCACCACATCCTCAAAGCTTAACACCAGGTAAGTGTATATTTATATATCATCCGTTAGCCACAATTGTGGCCCGCTCACTCTATTCGAATGGGATATGTAGATATAGACTTACGAGGCGGCAGACTTTGGGGTCCTCCAACCACAAGACCCCGCCGCTCCCCTTCGCCAAGTCCTGAAGTGTAAAAACACGACCGCGTGATATGCCGTCTGCGGGGTTGTGCGCAGACCGTATGTAGGCAAAGGATGCCTGTATTCCGCGAGAGTCCAAAAACTCATATATCCGTCGCAGCCCCCACGTCATGGCGTGTGATTTTGAGCTGCCCTTATTCGCCGCTCCTTGCAGCAAAGTGTTGTCCACCCAAACGTCCATGGCGGATGGCAAGATGGCGGAAAAGGCCGATAAGGCTAAGCGTACCGCGCGTGCCTCGGCCTGCATGATAAGGAAAGGTTTCCTCTCCCACTTTCCCTCCGGCAATTTTAACGTCGCCGGAGTCTGGAATAAAAACGGCTCCCATCCATGGAGCGATGCATCCGTGATGATGGCGGTCGATGCCTTCTCCGTGGGCTTGATGATACGCTTGCGATTATTCTCGATGGTGTGTCGCAATCTCTCGCCCAAACCAACCGCTGCCGGCGGAAGGTTCGCCAGGGATGTCTCCAGCGCAATCCCCCGGTTAAGTGCGGACAATCGTCGTCGCACTGCCTTGATGAAAGAGTAGTAGACACATAAACGCGTGCCCAAAATGGCCGTCGCGTACAAAAAGCGTGACGCCGTAACCTCCATTCCCGCGATGGTTGAAGAATTGAGCGCCGGCATGGCGCATACAGACCGGACAAACTTGTCACTCAGGGATACCGCCCGGTGAGTGTGTGATCAAACTGCACCCCCAGGAAGGTGTACTGCGTGGCGCCCGATTCGCGGCCCTCCCCCAAGGATGTGTGACAACTGTCCGCATTACGAAGCACTTGGGCCTCCCACAATGTCGTGTCGCTTTTAGGTCCTGCTATGCGTATATTACCGACCCATACGTCGACACGCACCAATGGAAGTGCGGCCCAGAGAGAGTGAACCACCGTCGTCACCACCGCAATTGCTGAAGTAATAATCTGGAGAATTTCTGGGCCGGCCTTGCATCCCATTGGGAGTCGTGTCAGCTCCGCCAGCGTGCCATCCTCCGCGCAGAATCAAAAGAGATGCCGAGTCTCCCGCGGTAAAGACTTGAAAAAAGGACGCCTTTACATCCAGGCAGGAAGCGGCCTCAGCCATCACAGGCGGCAAATAATGGGAAATGTGTAAAAGAGGAACATTAGCCTCATAAGGGTCGTCGCTGTTCTTGTCGCGTGGCCACGCGATCCATCGTCGTCGTAAACCGGTGGTTTTCTCCTCCACAACCGAAAAAGGGTATTATCCATCCGCCTGTTATTGTGGACGAAGCGTCCTCGACAATTCCCGCCTTTCGTAGCAATCTCGCATCAGCGGTTGGAGTCGTCCGTGAGCCTTCGCGCGCCTTACCGGAGGAAGACGGAGGGAGAGGGGACCGCCCGACGAGTCCCCAAACTTGCATGAGCCTCTCCAAGGTAGCCGGGTTCAACCGACTTTTAATCCACTCCAGATTCAACACGGGCACGCTGACATGCTGTAGCGGGATAGCGTGTTCATCTTGTGGAGTGGCCAGACGCGTCCTTGTCGCGCGTCTCGTTATTGTAGCGGCATGATTGTGATAAAAATCATGGAAAAAACGCTCCTCCGCTCTCAGCCAGGGTTCCTGCCCTTCCGCAGCTTCTCCCTTCACATCAATGCGACCAGCGACGACACCTGGGTCAGCAGTGTGTTGTACCTACTCAAATATCGAACTGTGTTCTGGGGAAGGTCGAACGGGTCGACGTGCTTCGCCAACTGCGAGATCACGTGTGGGTCCAAATCATGTGTCTCCACGACTTGAGCAGCGTGCCTCAACGCACCGCGTTCTATGGAATGCGCCGTGGCATTCCAAGGAGCCAAAGCTCGTTCGACTTGAGCAGTCGTAAGATTCGTAGGCTTTTCGTTGTGTTGAAGTGTCCTTCATAGCTTTATGATTTCGAAGGCGTCCTGCCCTCGTATCCTCACGAACCGTAAGGCGCGGTGGGGATCTGCTTTCGCCGTCCTTGACGCCACGGGCCAATACAAAATTAAGTTTCCGTCCGCCTCCATTGTGAAATTTTTGGCTGTCAAGGCCGCAATCTCGGACCAACGACTCGCCGTTATCCACGCAACTCGGAAAACAACACGTTCCCTCCAATCGGTCCGGCTGCGGATATATTGATTCATCTCTTCCTTTGTCAAGGGACGCGCCTGCTGCGTCTCCGATCGCGCCGGAGTTTTTTGTAACCAGACAATCATCATGTCCAGCGGGGTTCAATGCATTTTCGACATGGACCGCAGCACCCTGGCGTGCCGCAGTCGGGTCGATGGCGCCACATCGATTGCCATCAAAAAGGCCGCACAGCTCTCCTCGTTCATCGGCCGTTCGCGCGTGCGGCAAAAAGTCGTAAATTGCCCCGCTAGGGACATTCTCTGCTCCCACGTTGATGGCGCCTACTTCTCTCGAGCGACCTCGTTTGCTTTCCTCATATAACTGGCCCAAAGCGGGGATGTCGGAGGTTCGTCGTGCCACGGTGAATTTCTTTGCGGATAAGCTCCATTGCCCTTCTCGACGATTGCGTCGGGCGATTTGAAAGATCGGATGGAGCGTCGGCGGTGCGGTGCGATGCCTGCGCGGAATAGCCGGAGGTGGTGGATTGGATGGGGCTGTTTCCATCCGCCCTCGCGGCTGTCAGAAGCCACTCACCGCTCTTTGACGGCCGACCGCGCTGCGAGTCATTCCTTCTGGAAGCACCTAGGACGTTGCGTGTACACGCGTCGTGTCCACAAAGACGACACAACTGACATCGCGGCAATCGATGTTTTTTCGTGGATGGGCAGGCACGAAGTGTGGATGGCGGCATATGCCGGGGTCGGACGCCATCATGATCTGCATCCGGAAGGTCTGCGGCAGGGCCCTGCAAAAATCCATGAGCTGATCGCTGGGTTCCCGATCCATCTCCAGTGCGCGTCTGCACGACACCAAACCGTCGATGGCCATTTGAACCTGAGAGTCCACTTAGTGCAAACAATAACCGTATGCGCATCGGAGGTCGACGAGGACTCCGGAGACGACGTCATTCCATACACGCGGGACCCAAGTGTCAACGTCCAGTGCAAGGAAATGCAGTACCTGATCCTCTGCACCGGAGCCATCTTCGAAGGGGAAGGTGCGGGAAGGCAAAGGCATCGAGTGAGGGAGATGTGGTCGCCCAAAATTGCCCTGAGAATTTCGGGTGTTGACCCGCCGTCTCTCCCCCGTGAGAGTACTTTTGGGAAACGTGGATGCTGGCACGCTCCCAGCATCCAATGATGTGGTTGGTGTGGCCGTGTGTTCACGTCACCGTCGTGCATGCGTTAGTGGGGGTTCATCTGGCGGCCCTCCCCGAGAGGTGGGCGCTTCTCGTTGGCACGGCGTCTCCGCGTCCCGCAAAAAGGCCGCCAACCACCGCAATGTGGGATTCACAAGCCGACAAGTATGCGCCTCTTCCACCTGAGAGTAAGGCTGCGCGCTTCGATCATGAACGCCCGCGATGGCGCGGGTGCAGTCCGAGCCTAATATCTGCATTTCCGCAATGATCAGCCCTTGCTGGACCCCCAACTCCCGAGCCGCCCCCAGACGATGGGCAGGAGCTCTTGAACATCGAAATTTGGTAATTGAGCTGCACGGAGGTTCGCCAAGTGCCCGCAACGGTCGGCTCCTCCCAGTGCATGGTGATCTTTGCTGAAACCAAGCGTAAGCCTGCCATTGTTGCAGCGGCGGTTACCACCGCATCCAACGGCCCGTGTTCATCAATGAAGGCAAGCTGCACCTGGATACCGCCATGCTGGCGTACCAAGTCCAACAGGCGCCAATTTTGCTGCACCCCGTCGCCGTGTGAAATAAAGCACTGTCATTTCCTTCAACCAGCTTGCAGGGATCCCGTGTGGCCGCAAAAATAAAAATGATTATAAAGCGTCTGAACGCTAACAGTTCCCTGATTCCTTCAGTCGCGATCAGCCAAAAATTCATAATAATAAAAAAGAATTGTAAAGAAATATACCCATCGGTTCATCAAGAAACGTATTAATTCAGGTAACCAGCCTTCCTCGTAAGCGTCCTGTTCACAAGCTCCCAAAAAAAAGAAATACAACAGAAATGATAGTAATAATGCTATTAATTTTTGCGGCGCGTTGTGTCATCGCTTCCCTCCGACTCGTTTGGGAGTTCCGTCGTCTCTACCGGAGAGTCCGGAATCACCCCACGGTCCTTCAACAGACGTTCCACGAACTCTGGGGGATTTGGCGCATCGTAAAACGGATATGCCCTCAGGC